AGAGTTTTGGAGGGTGGGAAAATAAGCTTTGCCTGATACTGTTTATATCCAAGGAATTATTTTAAACTTAAAATGTTCCTTTCTATGTTATATTGTGGAAAGAGTGTTACCCTTGAATTCAGACCTATCTGAGTTCATATCATAGCCATGCCACTTATTATCAGGTGACCTTGGACAGTGCACACTCTTTATTCCTAGCCAACCCTTTGACCGCAAATCCCCTGTCTCATCTTTGTAGTAACTTGACCTAGTCTATCACGAGTTAAGAATTCCTGCCTGGTTTCTCAGCTGTAAATCAGCCACTCCAGCGTCCAGAGGAAGCTAAATGAGGGATTATACTCTGTGAAGTTTTAATGAGATTTTCTGCAACTTTTCGTTTATGTTTCCAATTATTTTCTCCTCTTTTAATCCTGTGACAAAGGTAGATTGAGGGCATTATCCTGTGGTGAAATTTCAGGAATGTGCTGGTTGATCAGCCATGTCCTTTAGTTCCAAACTCTTTGGAAGTTCAGAGAAAGGAACTTGTGAACAATCAGGAAATGAGTCAATATGTGTAAAGCACTTAGAACTGTGACTGGCACATAATAAACACTCTATGGGAAAGTGCTCACTATTAAAAACAGCTCTGACCCATGGCTTGAACTTGGAAAAAGTTTTCTCCACCAAAGCTGAGCTTTCAGTCAGTCTTCAGCAGCTGGTACCACCATTTATGCCATCTCCTGCCACTGCTGTCACTTCTACTTTACAGTGATTGCTGGAGATGCAGACGAGCTAGTTTTGTATCCTATTCCACGTGATATTTGACCCCATCCTTCCCGATTAGAAAGCCCCACACACTATGAGTCTCCCATTCCTGTAGAATTTGTTTCTTCTATCTTTGAAGGGTGTATTGTTACTAATTTCTCAGAACATGTTTAGAATAGCTCTTTTCATGAATACTCAAGATGTCAATAGGGAGTTAAGTAGAAAAGCTGGGTTTCTTTTCTTGGGTCTCTCTTAACTCCCTTTTTATCTCTGAAAGTTTTGCCTCATTAAAACCAGGCTGTCAAAAGTCAGTCAAGATCATGGGCCTGTCATCTCTCCTTCCTCCTCTCTTAAGAGAAACTATGGAGATTCTCCCAGGTTTTCCTTCCCAAGCCCACTAGTTATATCTATAGTTTGTAGTCCCAGTTTTCGCAGAACTAATGATATCCATTAATTTGGTAAATACTTGCAAAACTTTCATTACTTACCAGGCAAAGTTCTAGGTACTGGGGATATACCTGTAAACAAAATAGAGACCCTTAATTCATGGATCCTATATTCTACTGGGGAGAAAGAGATGATAAACAAGTCTATATATTTGTCAGGTGGTGATAACTGCTCTGAAGAAACATAAAACAAGGCAAGGGATTGTTGTCTTACAGAAGATGGTGTTAATGATATTTAGGCAGAGAACTGAATAAAGCCATGGTAGGTTTCTTGGTGAAGAGCAGGTCCAGGAATGGTGAACAGTGAGTTGCAGAGTCCCTGATGCTAAAGTGTGCTTGGCATGCTGAACAGAAAAGAGGCCAAAGTGGTTAGGGTTGAATGAGCAAGGAGGGCCATCTACTGCATTCTTCTCAAAGGGACAGCAGTAACACATAGGTTAAAGCTCATCACTTAAAAGAGATGTGAAGTGAGGCCTTTGGAGGGCCCACAGAATAGAGAGGGAGGTCAGTGGATTCTTCCTACCACAGTAACTGCCAATATTTCCACATTAAAGCTTGGCTCCAAAGTGTACATCTGTAGGCCAGCCTTAGGGGGGATGTTGCAATCCATGTTGACTCTAGGGTTATCCAGGCTATGTTTTATTTTAGAGAGGACACCCAACAGGAATTGTCCTTTCTGGTTTTCTAGACTTTTCTCATTTAGAGAAAAAGGGATTTTAAGCCTAGTGAATATCTTCTCTGAGCCCTGATTGCCAGATCTAGTCTCAAAAGGTTCCCAACCAATGTTACAGTCTACCTGGAGGAGACAGGACCTGTAAACAGCACCCTTTCCAAATGGAATTGGCAGCTCTCATTACAAACCCTAGAAGTTAGTGAGCCCACATCCATCTTGGGGCCTGGGTAGCTCCTTGAAAAAGAGCAGGCTCTAAAGAAAGTTTTGTCAATGAGAAGTGAATAATTTGTGTAACTAGAATAAGATCATTTAATCCAGAAGAGACCTTCAAGAGCCATCAGGTATAAACTCTACAATCCCTGATTTGCATAACACAACCACTTCACCCCTTATTGCTCCAATATCAACCTCGCTCCCCCACTTTCCCCGCCCTCTTCCATCTCCCCCCTCCCTCTAAGGAAACATGGGTGTAAGTCCTTGTTAGGATTGCTAATAGGATAGTTACCATTTATTGAGCACTCAATATGTTCTAGACTAGGCTCTTTGCATATATTTTCTCATTCAATCATCACAACCTTATAAGATAGGTAGTATCATTATCCTTATTTTGCAACTGAGGAAAAAAATGAATGAAAAAAGGTGAAGATAGTCTATGTGAATTATAGGATCCATTAAAAGAAACAATCTAGACATTATTGGAGTCCCAGAAGCCCCATAAGGAGAAGAATGGGAGAAAACTTACTTAAATAAATAGTGGCTCAGAACTCACATTTGAGGAGAGATTTATGAAGCTAACAAATCCCTTCAAAATTTCAACCCAGAATAATCTCCAAAACACATTATAATGAAACAGTATAAAATTAAAGACGGGGAGAAGTTTACAGACAGCAAGAGAAAAAAAAAGCCTTAGCTAGATTAAGAAATAGAGAAGACTCAAATATATAAAATGGAAAATGAAAGAGGAGACACCCAGAAACACAAAGGATGATTCGAGACTACTATGAATAATTGTATGTCAGCAAATTGGATAGTCTAGAAAAGAGGGATAAGTTCCTGGAAACATACCACCTACCAATACTGAATCATGAAGAAACAGGAAATCTGAACAGACTAATAACGAGTGAGGAGATTGAATCAATAATCAGAAATCTCCCAACAAAGAAAAACCCAGAACCAGATGGCCTTATCAGTAAATTCTACCAAACATTAAAAGAAAAAATAATACCAATCCTTCTCAAACTTCAAAAAAACATTGAAAAGGAAGAAATACTCTCAAAGTCATTTTATGAGGCCAACATTACCCTGATAACAGAGCCAGATAAGGACTTACAAAAACAAAGCAAAACAACAACAGAAACCTACAGGCCAATATATCTGATGAATGTAGGTGGAAATTTTCTCAACAAAATACTAGCATGCCAAATTCAACAGCACAGTAAAAGAATCATACACCATGATCAAGTGGGATTTACCCCTGGGATTCAAGGGCGGTTCAATATATGCAAATCAATAAATGTCATACACCACCTTAATAGAATTAAAAATTGAAATCATATGATCATTTCACTAGATGTAGAAATGGATTTTCCAAAATTCAACATCCTTTTGTGATAAAAAATAAATTTAAAATTAAGTATTGAAGGGATAGCTGACAAGCCCACAGCTAACATCATAATGGTCAAAAGTGTACAGCTTTCTCACTAAGATCAGGAACAATAGAAGAGGGCTCAATCTCACCACTCTGATTCAACATAGTATTGAATTCCTAGCCAAAGCAATTAGGCAAGTAAAAGAAATAAAATACATCAAAATTGGAAAGGGCTATATGTAAGTTATTTCTTGTAATTTTTTTATTGGCTGCTAGACATTGTTAATTTTACCTTCTTGGATATTGGCCTTTTTTGTATTCCAATAAGTAATATTCTTGAACTTTTTTCTGGGATGCAGTTAAGTTACTAGAAAACAGCTTGATGCTTTCAAGTATTTCTTTTAGTCTTTGTTGGGCAGAAAAAGAGTAGTGTTTAATCTAGGGTTATTTTTTCCTTACTAATGAGGCAAAATTTGGATGTATATTCTACCCAGTATCCTATGAATTATTTTATTTTCCACTGTGTCTAGTGAGAACGGGAACTCTTTCAGAGACTCTGTGGTCTCAGGTAATTGTTCCCTCTAATTCTATCATGTTTTGACTCACACATATGTTGCCCTGTGTCCCCAATCATGTGAACCCTGTGACTATGCAGCCTATGTTGATTCTTGTCTGATAGAATGTTGGGCTTTGACATTTCTCTTTGCACTAATCATGAGGGTTGATTTCATTGCACTGGACAAGGGTCCCTTTCCTCTCTCACCACTAATATGTGTCCTCCCAAAGTGTGTGCACTTTGGCCAAAAGGTCATTCTCTCCAGGGACAGGAAGGACTTGTGAGAGCCTACATAAAAATTTTAATCACAGCTGCTCTCTCATTAATCCTGCACTTTTAACATCTTCTAAGGTACTTTGTTTTTGGCCTTCCTTTTTAAAATAATATCCATGATATGAAATTTTAAAAGATCAAAATGATATAGGGATGAAAAATAAGTTTACCTTCATCCTTTCCTCAGCCGCTCATTACTCCTGTCTTAAGGTAAACAATGTAACCAGTTTCTTTGGTATCCTTCCAGAAATACTGAGTGCATGTGGGTATTTTTAGTGACCCTCAACACCCTATTCCTACCCATAGAGTGTACCTTGACTACCCTTTTCACCTGATTCTTAGCACACCGTGTGATGTGAGGTAGATGGTCCTCTCCCCATGTTATAGATGAGGAAGCTAAGGCTCAGAGATGGGAGGTGACTTATCTGAGGTTTCCCAGGAAGTAAGTGGAAAATCCACTACTGATGTTGCAGTTTTTGTCTGTATTCTTTTCTCCACATTGAGAAGTGTCAGGTCCTGTGCCTCGAACATGGTAGAAGATTTCTAAACACTTGCTGGCAGCTAGAGTGATTAAGAAAATTCTCCCAATTCCTTTAATATTCGAATCACTATGGCAGGCTCTAGATGTAATGTGTGAGTGTCAATCAACTCGTGGTTAGCATTAGGGAGACAGAAACTTGATCTTTCTAATTGTTGCCTGTAACTATTCTCCCTTTACAGATCTATTCAGGTCCACCTGAGGAAAGTGCTGCTCCCCCAGTGCCCCCGCCTCGAGTGACAGCAAGAAGGCACAAACCAATCACCATTTCAAAGCGCTTGCTGCGGGAAAGGACGGTTTTCTATACTTCTGCCCTGGATGAAACTGAAGGTCAGTGCTGATGTTCACCTTTCAGCGTCTTAATGGTGGCTAGACACAAAGAGGGCAGAAGAGGTGCACTGTTTCTCTCCATATAAAGGTAGAAGTTTTTTGGGTGCTGGGCCAGGCAAAGCAAGGTTTTTAAATTTTGTGCCCAGAGAGCAAATAAATCTTTCGGCAGTAGATAGGACAGTGATAGACCTGTAAAGCCAGTTACAATGATATTTTAGGAGGCCACTGGAGAATCAAAGATGTTCTTAGGTTTGCACCTCAAAATGTTGAAATGGGGGAGCAATGTGCTTTCTGAATGTTCTGAAATTTTAAATTCAAATCCAGCTAACATGGTGGAGTGATGTCAGCAAGATGGCTGAATAATAGTTTCCAGAGCATGTCCCCTCACAGTAATATCAATTTGAAAAACCATCCATGCATAAAAATACCTTCATGAGAGCTGTGGTAGCCAGCTGAGAGATTATACAACCTGGGTGGAACACAAAAATAAGAAAAGGTGCATTGCAGATTGTAGGAAGGTTATTTTCATATTACCCATGTCACACCTCCCCCAAGGTCACAGTGAAGTTCTGAGGTAATTATCCTCCACATTCGGCGGGGAGGAGAGTGAAGTGAGCACCCAACTTCACCTTGTACCCCACCACTAGGCCTAACACAGTGAACCTCAGTGCCAACCCATTCCTCATGGACCCAGGCTCCAGGCTTGCCTCAGCACCAGGTCACTCCTTGCAGCCCCAGGCTCCAGGCCTGTCCCTGTGGACCCAAACTCCTAGCCCAACACAGTGGCAGGCCAGGCCTGTGACCCCAGGTTCGAGGCCACCCACCATAGCCCTAGTCATGAGGATGCAACTGCAGAACTAGCCTCCAGGCTGTGCCCCTGTGAAGCCAACCTCAAAGTCTACCCCAGTGCCTGGCTAGCCCCCTGGCCCCGTGCTTCAAGCTCACCACAGCAGATCCCGGCTGTGCACTTTCCTACCTGCTGACCCATGCATTGTACTAGCCTACCCAAAGACTCCAGCACCAAGCCTGCCTGTGCAGCCTGCCAACTGGCCCCCACCCAGAATCTCTGGTTGTGCTGACCAGTAAAGGGCTTTCCTTGCCAAAGCCAGTCTGTAAAGACTAGAAGATGTGCCTGTTCCTTCAAATAGGCAAACACCAACACAAGACCTCAAGGATCAGGATTATTAGAAAAATATGACACCACCAAAGGATCCTCTACATGGTGAACAGCATAAAGCACCAGGAACTGACCCTGTTGAAACAGAGATCTGTGATCTGTCTGACAAGGAATTCCAAATAATCATCTTAAAGATGCTGAGTGAGTTACAAGAGAACACAGATAGATAACTAAACAAAATCAGGAAAACAATACATGAGAAGTTCACGAAAGTGATAGAAACCATGAAAAAGAACCAAAAAGAACTTCTGGAGCTGAAGAACACAATGACTCCACTGGAAAATTCTATAGAATTTTGAAGCTTTAATGGAATCAACCTTGACCAAACAGAAGAAATATTCAGTAAGTACAATGACACATCACTTGAAATTACCCAGTCTGAAGAACAAAAAGAAAGAAAGAAGGTTGAAAGAAAGTGAAGAAAACCTAAGCTACTTATGGGACACCATCTATCAAAGTAATATACACATTATGGGAGTCCAAGAAGGAACAGAGAAAGAGAAAGGGGAGAGAGGTTATTTAAAGAAATGATGACTGAAAACTTACTAAATATAGCAAGGGAAATGAACATCCATTCCATGAAGCCCAAAGAAACCCAAATAGATAAAACAAAGAGATTTTCACTAAGACACGTTAAAATAAAAGTCTCAAAATGCTGAGACAAAGACAAAATTTTGAATGCAGCAAGAAAAAAATTGAGTCGTCACATACAAAGAAAATCCCATAATACTATAAACAGATTTCTCAGCAGAAACCTTGCAGACAGGAAGAATGAAATGATATATTCAAAGTACTGAAAGGGGAGCAGGGGAGGACCTGCCAACCAAGAATACTATACCTGACAAAACAGTCCTTCAGAAATGAAGGAGAGAGAAAACTTGTCCAGACAAACAAATGCTGAAGGAGTTCATCACCACTAGACCTGGTTTACAAGAAATGCTGAAAGAGGTATTCAAGTCAAAACAAATGGACACTAACTAACAACATGAAAACCCATGAAAGTATAAAACTCATTGGTAAAGGTAAATATATAGTCCAATTCAGAATATTCTAATACTGTAATAGTGGTGTGTGAATCACTTTTAACTCTAGTATAAATGTTAAAATACAAAAGCATTAAAAATAACTATAACTACAGTAATTTAATGGATACACAATTTCAAAGGTAAATTATGATGTCTATAACATAAAATGTAAGGAAAGGAGAAGTTAAAATGTTTTGTATGTGGTCAGTTACTTTGTTAGCTTAAAACAGACTGCTATAACTATAAGATGTTTTATGCAAACTTCATGATTCTGACAAATGCAATACCTATAGCAGATACACAAAAGAGAAATAAATCAAAGTATACTATTACCAAAAAAAATTCAAATCATAAATAAAGACAGCCAGAGTGGAAGAAAAGAAATGCAAATGAGTCAGAAACAATTAACAAAATGACAATAGTAAGTTCTTACCAATAATTACTTTAAATGAAAATGGATTAAATTTTCCAATCAAAAGACATAGAGTGAATGACTGGATTAAAAAATGAGATTCGACATGGTAACCAAAAGAGAACAGAGTGGCTTTATGACAAAAACTGTCACAAGAGGCAAAAAGGTAATTATATAATGATAATTGTATCATTTGTCAAGAGAATATAACCATTTTAAATATATATGCAACCAATATCTGAGCATCTAAGTATGTAAAGCAAATATTAACAGAAGTAAAGGGAGATATAGACAGCAATATAATAATAGTAGGGGACTTAAACACTCCACTTTCAACAATACGTAGATCATCCAGATAGGAAGTCAATAAGGAAACAGGTGACTTGAATAACAATATAATTCAAGTGAACCTAACAGACATGTACATAACATTCCATCCAGCAGCAGTAGAATACACATTTTTTTAAAGCACACACAGAAAATTCTCCAAGATTGATCATATGTTGGGCCACAAAACGAGTCTTAACAAACTTAAGAAGATTGAAATCATACCAGATATCTTTTCTAACCCCAACGGTGTGCAGTTAGAAATCAATAAGTGGAGAAAATGAAGTAAATTCACAAATATGTGGAAATTAAACAGCACACTTCTGAAAAAACCAGTGGCTCAAAGAAGAAATCAAACTGGGAATCAAAAATTTCATGAAACAAAAATGGAAACACAGCATACTAAAACTTATGGAATTAAGTAAAAATTATTCTAAGAGGAAAGTTTGTAGTGGTAAATACCTACATTAAGAAAAGAGAAGATCAGGGGCAGCTGGTTAGCTCAGGTGGTTAGAGCGCAGGCTCATAACACCAACGTTGCCAGTTCAATTCCCACATGGGCCACTGAGTTGTGCCCTCCACAACTAGGTTGAAATAACTACTTGAATTGGAGCTGATGGGTCCTGAAAAAACACACTGTTCTTCAATAAAAATTTATAAAAAAAAAAAAAAAGAAAAGAGAAGATCACAAATAAACAAGCTAACTTTACACCTCACGGAGCTAGAAAAGAGAACAAACTAAGGCCAAAGGTAGCAGAAGGAAGAAAAAAAAAAGATCAGAATGAAAAAAGAAATAGAGATGAGGAAAACAATAGAAAACATAAATGAAATTAAGAGGTGTTTTTTTTAAGACAGATAAAATTGACATTTATTTAGACTACGAAAAAAGACTCCAATAAATAAAATTATAAATGAAAGACATTGCAACTGATACCACAGAAATATAAAGAATCATAGACAACTGTGAACAATTATATACCAACAGACTTGATAAGCTAGAAGAAATGGATAAATTCCTAGAAACATACAACCTACCAAGTCTGAATCATGAAGAAATAGAAAATCTGAACAGACCAATAACAAGTAAGAAGATTGAGTCAGTACCGTGTTTCCCCCAAAATAAGACTGGGTCTTATATTAATTTTCGCTCCAACAATCTACATTTATTCATTTATTTGTGTGCAAGAATCTACATTTATTCAAACAGTCATGCCTGGCTGATGATCTTAACTGGGGCTTATGTTTTGGGTAGGGCTTATATTACAAGCATCCTGCAAAATCATGCTAGGGCTTATTTTCCAGCTAGGTCTTATTTTGGGGGAAATATAATAAAAAATCTCCCTACAAAGAAAAGCTCACAACCTAATGTCTTCACTGTAGAATTCTACCAAACAGTTGATGAATAGTTAACACCAATTCTTCTCAAACACTTCTAAAAAATTTAAGAGGAGTGTACAATCCCAAACTCATTTTATGAGGTCAGCATTACCTTGATACAAAAGCCAAAGATAATATAAGACAAGAAAACTGCAGGCCAATATAGCTGCTGAACATAGATGAAAAAATCCTCAACAAGATACTAGAGAACTGAATCCATCAATAGATTAAAATAATCTTATACATGAGCAAGTGGGGTTTATCCCTGGGATGCATACAAGGATGGTTCAACATAAACGAAAAAATCAATGTGGCACACCACATTGATAGAATGGAGGATAAAAATCATAAGGATTACTTGTATAGATTCAGAAAAAGCACTTGATACAATTCAATATTCTTTCATGATAACAATTCTCAACAAATTAGGAATAGAAGGAATTGTACTTCAATATAATAAAGACCATATATGTTAAACCAACAGCTAGCATCATACTCAAAGGTGAAACCTTTTTACCCTAAGATCAGGATCAAGAATGTCCACTATCTCCACTTCTATTTGACAAAGTACTTTTTCTTGCCTAATCACTCTGGCTAAGACTACTTGTAGATCTCATTTCGTTTATCCATTTATCAGTTGATGGACGATTGGGTCATTTCCTCTTATTGGCTGTAATGCTGCTATGAACAGTTGTGCACAGAGTTTTGTGTGGACATATGTTTCCAATGACTTCGATTCCTTTCCTGTAAAATGGGACTGAAATGTCCCCTTTCCCCTTTTTTCCACCTTTTGCAATTCTTCAAGGCCCAGCTCAAATGATACCTATTATACAAGAGCTCATGCCACCCCTCCAGACAGAGTTAGCGTTCTCCTCCTCATAGAACTTACTTGCATTATAACAGTTGGTCATTTCTGCTGCTGGACTAGTGTGCCACCTCTCAAAGCTCCTGCCCGTCACTCACCTGAAATAGAAGAGAGGCCCCCAGGGGCTACTTGCCTATTGTGAGGCCTCCCTGTGTGATCTGCATTCACTCTCAGTTCTCTGCAGTTTCTGAAGCTGGTCCGTATGTGTTCCTTTGGAAACAGATGGCTGGTTAGGAAAAGGGGGCCATACTGAACTCATACTATTAACTGCCAGAAGCAATGAACTCTCTCTTCAGAAAGAGTGTGGACTCTGGTAACCAACTTCAAGCTTTGAAAACAACTGAGAAGCTTGTACTACTGTCACAGGACTTGGAGACCACAAAAGCGAAAAGAACATAAAGTGACTAGTTGGGGGTTTCTGTATGAGGATGGAGAAAGAAATTAAATTCTGTTAAGTTTATTTACTTGAATTTTTTTAATTAGAGTTTATGGGGGTGGCAATTGTTAGCAAAGTTATGTAGATTTCCGGTGTACAATTCTGTAACACATCATCTATGTATCACATTGTGTGTTCACCACCCAGAGTCAGTTCTCCTTCCATCACCACATATTTGATCCCTTTACCCTCGTCTACCACCCCCCACCCCCCTTACCCTCTGGTAACCACTAAACTGTTGTCTGTGTGGTTAACTTGAAATTTGAGAGATCTCTACAAATCACTTTTCAGTGAAGTAGAAATAGTTAAGGAATACTGATGTCTTTATTTTAAAAGACAATTGATTGGGGACTCTTAAGCTCCTTTGAATTGTATATGCCTTTGAGTAAAGCCTCTTGGTATATTGTGGTTTTACTGAATTGTGGTGGTGAAAATCACACTCCAATCTTGAACTGGATTTCCCGTTTGATGGGACCTGTGACTCCACATAAATTGGGTAGGCAGAAACTGATTGGTGGCATATTGTTGATTTGATCCACAATAGCTCCTTTGAAAATGTGTACAATTTTTCAGTACTACGTACGCATGTATAAAATGACAAGGTGATAAACGTTGTCATTAACCCTCCCTCTTTGCACCGACTTTTCCTAGGTGAAGTCCAACATCGAACACCCAACGGTACTATCGCCAGCAGTATCGAAGCCCCCAAACTGCCTGTTCAGAAGACTGGGGAAGCCGATCCTGGGAGAAAGTCCCCGAACAGACCTGTTTCAGATGGCAAGTTGGAGTCGTCCCTTGAGGTGGACGTGGGGAAGTTGGTGTCTCGGCTGCAGGATGTAGGGACCAAGGCCCTACCAAAGGCCACCAATGGACCAGTGCCAGGCTCCGGGCCCAGCAAGGCCCTCTCTTTCCACATAAAGAGACCAGCTCCTCGGCCTGTGGCTCACCCCAAGGAGGGTAAGTGCTTGGGGATCCTATGGGAACCAGAGCTGAACCCAACTACTTTGCACCTTGAGATCTTCTGGCACTTGGAGATATTTAAGTAGAAATCTATTCCGGTTTACTACCACTGATAAGGGAATGGTGGACAAGAACATAGAAACCATTCACAGTAATCACCAGGGCAGGGATGAGGTGCCTGTTTTATTTGCCACTGAACCCCAGGTGCTCAGAACAGTGCCTGACTGTCACATAGTAGGCAATCCTTATTTAAACAGTAAATTAATAATGATAATATTTATTAATATAATTATTGCTACTGTTGCCATTCATTAAGTACCTGCTATGTGCCTGACACGTAGCTGTTGACATGCTACTTTTGATCCTCACTACCTGACTGTGAAGAATGTATTATTATTGTTTTTTTCTACCAGAAACCTGAAGCTCCTCGTGGTAAGTGGCTTGCCAAAGGCGAGTAACTGGCAGAGCTGTGTTCTCAGACTTACCAAGTCTGGGAGGCACCAAAGCCTGTGTGATTTTCACCAAGGCAGACCTATCAATTTACCTCTTTATCAGAAGCTTTGAAACTGTGAATTGCTGTTTTCTCGTTCTCACTTTCCAGTTGAATGGAAATAGGGACAAAGGGACACAACTTCTGTGAAACTCTGGACTTTGTAAATTACAAATTGAAGGTGTGGCTGACTTCTGCAAATTTAATTGGCTACTGCATGTGGAGACTCATGTAGAGAGGTTGGGGCTACTCCAGGGGAATTTGGGGGGGAGATGAGTCTATGAGGTAGTATGTTATAATGGAACGAATATGGACTTTGATATCACAAAGCCTTCCATCCGTACCTGGTTCTTTTATTTATTTATCCTCTTTACTTTTAAAACTTATTTTGTTCAGTTACAGTTAACATTAAATGGGGGTTCAATCAGATTTTCACTAAATAACCGTGTGTTCCCTGGCTGGACCCACAGATGCTTCTGTTTGAGTAGACTTAAGTTTTTTAACCTCTTCGCACCTCGTTGCCATGTCTGTTAATGAGAGAAACAGCTCACTCCACAGAATTATAGCCATAATTATAGCTAGGGTTCAAAATGAATAACAAATAAAGTATCTGACATATAATCAGTATTCAAAAGATGTTATTCATTTCCTCCCCCTGCCCTTCCCGTCTGGAAGATTTGCCTCTTCTTGGGAGCAGCCACGTAAGGCCAGACTTCTGTGTAGACATCTGCTTCAATTTATAAGTCATGTATTGACCTTCACATCAGTGTGGTAGAGAGCTGGGTCACTCCACTTAAATTCATCACAGTGAAGCTTGTCTTGCCTGTCGCCAGGCCTTGAGGTCAGCCAGATCCTATCAGCTCAGCACACACAGTATGTCCTCCCTCCCTAGCAGTTCTGCCCTCACCAACTTCTGCTGCAAAGTTAAATCTCAGGGGCATTCCCCTTGGCCCCTTCCTCCACAGTCCAGCCCCGGACTGCCGGTGGCAGCTGCTCTGATCTAATGGTTTAAGTTATTGAAAGTACTGATCTGACTGTCCACTGTCAGCAAAACTGTCTAAATTTGTGCCACACAATTGCCTGGCTTTGCTTTCTGCCTTCAGTTAATCAGCAGTAGGCTAGTGTGATGCGGCTTTTTCCAAGGTCCATGCCTCTAGCCTTGGCTGCAGAAAGCAGAACTGAGGTAGTACTTTTGGCCTTGGGGGAGAGGCAACCAAACCTCTGGTGTACTTGCCCCTTTGACCTTGCCCACCCCACCCTCTACTTCCTCCCTTCCTCCCCATATTGGATGCCACTCCCGTGATAGATCCCAGGCATCAGAACATGTATCGAGGCAGCCAAAGCTGCAAACAGCTCGGACGCTGTGCTATAACTGATAGTTCTTAGCCCTGGGTGCTGGCCAATGGCCTGAATGGCGGTGTCAAAGTGAGGGAGCTGTGGCCGCAGCATACCCACGCCACACTTTGCAGTTGTCATCCTGTTTCAGCTCTGTGGTTCAGAGCTTTGCTGACCATCCTGGGAGTCGATACACAGGCCTCATACTTTTTTTTTTTAAGATTTTATCGAGGAATTGGGGGGAGGGAACAGCGTTAGGGAATCGGGGAAGGGGGAACACACAAGTTGCTGTTCTTTTGTTCTTCAGTCTAGTTGTGAAGGACCTTGCTTCACTGGCCCACGTTGGTATTATCATTGTGCTCTTCCCTGGTGAGGCAGTCGCTTGCCGGCCATTGGACGGCTGCTCATGGCAGTTCATGACAGCTCATGCCAGCTGCCGGCCAGCCCCACTGCAGCCTATGCTGTCGCTGGCAACTCACGGCATCCCAGCTCCAGGTTGAGCTGTTGTTCACCATCCTAGCTGTAGAGGGCGCAGCGTCACTGGCCCTCATGTGGGATCCAAACCGTGGCCCTGCTGCTCAGAGCTGGTGTCCCAAGCCAGCTCCCTACCAACGTGCCACTTGGCCGGCCTCAGGCCTCATTCTTTAGTGAGCCAACTGTGCTCCTGACCTGTCCCCCATCTTCACCCCTTGTGTTGATCCAACATTCAAGTGGACTTGATATTCTCCACATTTTTTTCGTAGCAATTAAAAATAGCACCTTTCTTAGCAAGGTGCATGTTAAATTGCTTTGTTTCATGGCAGTCAACTTGATAATAAAATCAATATTATTTGCTGACATAATTTCGTCAAGGGCCATTTTCTGTTCCAGACATGGAATGGGATATGTTCTCTTCTTCTATTGTATCTGATTATTGTGATAGGCCTATGAGATAGGTTTTATTCTCCCCATTTCACAGATGGAGAAACTGAAGCTCAGGGAAATGAAAAAAATTACCCAGAGTCACCCAGGTTGTAAGATATGGCTTGAACCTAGACTTCTTGGGTACCACATTCTTATAATATTTCATAAGCAGCTTTAGCTACCATGCCCTTTCTGTTTTCTAAGAAGCATTCACTTTGGGGAGCGTCAAACTGTGTAAGTCCAGTTTCCTCCCTTTGATGTTACTGCCTCTTACATGCCTGGTTTTGGAAAGGGCTTTTGTATCACTTCTAAAAGTGACTTGGGGCTTTCCTTTGAGGAATGGAGGGGGAAGACATATACTTACGTGTATTTGTTTATTTATTCAGACACAGTGCTATGTAGCATGAGAGACAACTATGAAAGGCCATGGTCCCTGCCTTCCGAAGGTTTGTGGTATACACTCCCAGTACAGCGTGATCCGTGTTCTAGTGGGGGAGAGGCTAAGTCTGGTGGGAGCCCTTCACTGTGTCTGAGGTCCTGAGATAAAAGTGGAGAGTACATCCACACCGGGACCTTGTGACGTATGGCTTCAGGAGCCCTTACTAGCTCTTCTCCTGACTCTTATGGGAGAGAAAATACTGCATTCTGGTGGCATGCTCTTGGGGCTTGGAGAAATAGTGCTTGTTAGACCTTGTCCTGCCACAGGGCCATCAGTTCTCCACTGAGGTCACTAATGCTAAGAGTGGCATTTGTATCTGTTCTACGTGTATTTAGAACAGACGTGCCCTTGCAGTAAGGGGCTGTGCTGGGCGTTATCCACATTTTCTGGCTTAAACTCATTATGCTTTAATAATCTACGTGCTTGGTTTTCATTCTCTGCCTTTTCTGGAGCCTAATGCCAGATGGATACTTAGTGGCTAAAGGAGAAGGAGGCTTTAAAGTGAATATAGAAGAGTATCATAGAAAGAGCTAATCCTAGAAGACTGGGGGAATCTACAATAGGAAATGACCTCCCCTTACTCCGTACTCTCAGGTTGGGTGTAGATGGATATAAGGAAAGGAGGACGAAAGTTGCTTAAGATTGAAGACTGATAGCCATCAGATCCTAAGAAATCGACCAATGCTAAGATTCTTTGATTATGGCCATTTGACAGAGAATGGGGAGGGAAGGAACAGGTTGGGCTGGAAAGGGCGGTCACATCAGTGGTAAAAATCAGGTTGTGAACCAAGGTTTAAACGAAATGAAGAGGAAGTACAGTTTGGTAGAAAGACCACAGGCTTAAAAAAGCTTAGTGGGGTCTCAGATGCGACTTGGGCTCCAGAGCCTCCCCGATGTGAGTTTGAATCCTGGCTCTGCCTCATTCTGGCTGTGGGACCTTGGCCAAGTCACAACATCTGAGCTTTAGTTTTCTCATTTGTAAAATGAAGATAATAACTGTGCCCATAGGGTTGTTGAATCAAAGAAGTATCTATGTGCTTGGCACAGAATGAGTACTCAGTCAATAGCAGCATTGTTTTTATAGGAAGCTAATTACTAGCTCCAAGACCTTAGTTAGGTAAACTTCATTTCTTTGAGCCAGTTTTCTCAACTGTCAGTGGGGATAGTGCCTACATTGCAGGCAAGGTTTCTGTGGGGTTAAAAAAGATTAGGTATACAACACACCTGGCAATACGAGGCCTGACAATGAAGTTCATGGACTTATTGCAGTGATGTTGCTACCCTTTTTTTGATATCAGAGGGATTATTTATTATGAATTTTTACCAACTGGACAAACAGTTCACCAAGTTTACTATTTGGAAGTGCTGAAAAGGCTGCATGAAAAAGTTAGACAACCTTAACTTTTCGCCAACAATTCATGGCTCTTGCATCATAACAATGCACCAGCTCCCACGGCTCTGTCTGTGAGTTTTTAGCCAGTAAACAAATCACTGTATTGGAACACCCTCCCTACTCACTTGATCTGGCCCCCAATGACTTCTTCTTGACCTGAAGATAAAGGAAACATTGAAAGGAAGACATTGTGATGACATTCAGGACATCAAGGGTAAGACAACGGCAGCTCTGATGGCCAGTCCAGAAACAGAGTTCCAAAATTGCTTTGAAGGGTGGACTAGACGCTGGCATCGGTGCATAGCTTCCCAAGGGTAGTACGTCGAAGGTGACCATAGTGATATTCAGCTATGAGGTATGCAGCACTTTTTCTAGGATGAGTTTGCAAACTGAATTGTCCGACCTCATATAATACAATTTCAAACAAATGATAGTGCTAATGGGGAGGGGTAACAACCTCCCAGGCAATGGCATGCATGGAACATGGTAGATGTCGACTCTTCCTTGTACTGGGGAGCCTATGAGAAGCCTCAGGCCTCAAATATAGATGCCATGAAAGAGGTCAGAGGTACTCTTTGCACACTCAACTTGTCTCTGACCATGCCTAACACCCAGAAAGAGGAGGACCGTTACTAAGGGCAAGGGACAAGGAAGGATTCTTAGCTATCGGTTAAGGTCCAGCTTGAGTCCTAATCCCACCCTGAAGCCTCCTGACAATCCTGCCCCAGAGAATTCTCCCTCCTCCCTTCCCTTCCCTCTTTTGGCACTCAAGCTTGGCCCTCTAATGTGGATACTAAGTTACAGTATTCACACGTATTTCCCATGAGTGTGAGTTCATTCTCCAACTCAGTTTTAAGCCCCTGGAGGATGAAGTCTACATTATATCATGTGTGTGCATTACTTATGAAAGCACAAGTCTGGGCACACATGCCTTCCAGAAATACCCAGTATGTTGAACACCTTTCAGTTTAGGTTTCAGAATAACCCTGAAATTTGGGTATAGCATGGGTGTGTCACAGATGACACAACTTTCCCTTAAAAAGGAAAGCCTTTTTCCTTTGTCCTAAATGACTGAACTGTATTTTTCTTTACTCAATAAATATCTCTTAACTACCAGTCACATGCAGAGCAATTTACGTGAGCCTCTGGTAATTACAGAGTTGAATTCTACCCGAATCTTCTGAGTAGGAGAACTAGAGCCAGCAGAACAAAGAGCCCTGATTTGGAGTACAAGATGATTAGTGCCTTAAGAGTCAGACAGAGTAACTTTGAGCATATGAGGCTAACAGATTGATGTGGCACTTAAGCTGAGTCTTGATGGATGATGCAAACTTGGGCATGTGGGAATAAGGTAAAGGGCATCTAGGAAATTCTAAGACATGTGCAGAGAACAGCAAATAATACTGCTTATGTGGACTGTAGGATATGTGAAGAAAAATGACAGAAAGGGAAAGCAGAAAGATCACCTGAAGAAAAATGGTAGAGGGGAGTGAATTCCAGGTTACAAATGTTTCAGTTTATTCTGCAGGCAACAGGAATTTGTGAAATCTAAATCCCTGTCTGTCTATCTATCTATCTATCTATCTATCTATCTATCTATCTATCCATCCATCCATCCATCTATCTATCCATCATCTGTCTATCTGTCTATCTATCTATCATCTGGAGATTTTTTTCAAGCTGGTTCAGTACATAATCAGAATGGCTTCTAGAGTACTTGAAAGCAGCTTATAAAAGTCAACAGAGAGAGATAGAGGTCTACAGACTTATATCATGGATGCATTGATCTGGAAAACAGTCCAAGTCCACATTGTACAGGTAGGAAAGGGATCTGCTTAAGATCACACAACAAGTTAGTTTTAGCATTAATACTGGAATCTAGGTTTCTTAACTCCCAGTTATATTACTCTTCCATCCCTGCCTCCTCAGTTTGACATCGTGACTTTCCTGTGGCAAGTTAGAGTCAGGAGATAGCAATATGGGAGTCTTTCAACCAAGAAAACCCTTTGCTGCTAACTGCAAAGTTTGACTTATAGTGAATCGAGTTGGAGCTCCCAATAAAGAACCTAGGAAGACACAGGCTAACTAATGACTTTTGTCTTCCAAGGCCTTGGGTTGATGTCCACTTAGATGTGGCTGTAATTTGGGAAGGAATGGGGTTCATATTTTTGGGGGGGTGTCATCTGGTTCTCTAATCAAGTGAAGTGATAGCCCTAGGATGGACACAGCTTCAGGTAAATGTTGTTTGGCTCTAACTGCCACATGTGCTGCCTGTCCAACACCCCCTCCAGTCACCAGAAGAAACGGGAGAGCGTTGTCAGCTCTGGGAATCTGTAATCTGTAGTGAGCCAGCAGCATCATGTGGCCTCTGGCTACACACACATATCATCACCTGAGGAGCTTTGAAAAATACCCACACCCAGGTCCTGCCCCAGTCAAGTAAACTAGGATCTCTGGAGATGGGGCCCAGGTACGGTACGATTTTAACATTCGCAGTGTGTAGCCAGGGTTGAAAACCACTGGTACTTGGGACGACATGGGCTTCGGAAATCAGATGGATCCGAATCTATTGCCAGTGAACTAGGAGGTTACTTCTCATCTCTGCATCTGTTTCCTCAACTCTATTATGCAGCAGTCTAACCAGTGTTAAATGAGGATATATGCATAAAGCACTGAGAACACCAGGAACAGAACTGGTGTTCAGTAGAAAGGTAGCTAAACTTTTTACCAGTTGTGTTATTATATTCACCATTGTTATTATTATACTAATAATAACAACAAGACAGCAGACATTGAGAGGAACAGTGGATGCAGAAACAGGAGACAAGGGTTTCAGTCATCCGTCTACCACTTACCTGACTGTGGGTGAGTCAGTTCACCTCTCTGAACCTCAGTTTCTGTCTCAGTAAAATGGATGGATAGGGTAAGATCCATCTATTCTTTCCTCCCAAGCTTATTGTGACATCAAATAGTTATCTGGGAAAGTGCTTTGAACGGTGTAAAGTGTGTCAGGAAAATCAGGTTATTGTAATTTTGGACATTGATTTTACTGCAATTCTGTGTACCTAGCCTAGTGCTAAGGGGAATCACATGTCTAGAAATGTAAGATACAGTCTAGATGGGGAGACAGAACTCACATGTGTGTACATGAATAGTGCTTGGTTCATTCCTCCATTAGACCATCAATCACACTATATTACCACGAATTCTTTTCACATGGTCTCCTACACTAAAATGGCTAGCTGGAGGACCTAAAAAAACCCACACGGCAATATATAAGCATATGTAATTCCCATCCATGTAAACGCATAGGTGTGAATTACCTACGCCATCTGGAGTGTTAGCCAGGTGAGATTTGAGCTGAGTTGTCGGGGAATGCTTACTTTACAGTTAAGACATGAGAACAGGGACAAGTATCGGGCATGTACCCCTGCTGTATGCTAGGCATTTTCTCTACGCCGTCTAATTTAGTCCTTACAACCACCAGGTGATGAGGCATTATTATCCCCATTTTCCAGGTGAATAAATTGATAGTCAAAGAGGGGAAATAACTGCCCAGGGTCCCGCAGCTTGGAAGCAGCAGAAAAGGCCTCAAAGCCAGGCCTGCCCAACTCCAGAGTCAAGGGCTTGCTTTGGTAGGGTAGTAAGGAGACCAGTTTGACTGGAGTAGAGCTGGTAGTTAAGAGTTCGGAGTTAGTGCCCGCGGTGATAATTTGGGACCAGCTCCTAGAGGGCCTTGAATTTATGTTGAGGAGTTTGAACTTTATTCTGTGCATTTTATAGCCACCTGGGAAGATGTTTAAGGGAAGAAAAACAGTGTAAAAATACTTAGGGTAAATCTTACAACAGCATGTATTATCTGGATTAAAGGTAATGCTTTGTATATTTGCCTTAAAAAGCTTTATACAAGAAAGCTTACTGAATATTAAGATTTCCTAACAACAGTTGGATGAATATCAAGACCTACTAACACCCGTGCACATGTCTTGTTTATATATGGCCTCATCAGGCCACGAGCACTTTTTACGGACTTCTTTTCACTTATTTTATGTGCGTATATTTTTTTACTTGGCCCAAGTCCTTGTCAGTTCATGGATAATATGTTGATTAAATGCGTGTAAGAATTGAGTCGTTTGCTTAGCTTTGTGTTTGGGTCTCACTTTTTGCTGTTAAGAAGCATGTTTTTGTGCCAATTGTTTTTTATTTTTTTATTTCTTTGGGGTTAAATTCCTTTGGGCCTGATCCCCAGAGTGGATCGACTGGATGAACGAGTATGAATCGTCTCATGTGTATGATTTTGCATTTCATCTGCATTGTTCCAGAATTCCTGATGGCTATCTAGATAGAGTAAGCCCAGGGTACAGTGCCACCAGCAGTGTGTGAGTGCATCCGTTTCACCATCCTCCTGCCAGGAGTGTTTTATAAAAAGCTATGTATCTTTATTGTGTACTGACTCACCTGGAAACTAGAGGCACAGAGGGAGGCTGCTACAATAGTCAAAGCCTAAGTGAAAGGGGCCTGAGTTTTGCTGATGATGAATGTAATCAATTCAAATTCGTCATCAAACATCGACTAAGCACCTACTGTGTGCCAGGCACTGTACTAAACAAATCACTACCTGATTAAATTCTCTCCCTATCTCTGGAAGAGAATGTATTATTGCTCTTGATTATAATGATGCAGAAACTGAGACTAGCAAGTTGATGTGACGTGCCCTATGTCACACAAATAAGAACTTCAGAGCCGAGGTTCAAACATAGACTATCTGAAGGGATAGCTGCTGGAAGAATTGCAAATAAAGAGAAAAAAAAGTCCAGAGTTGTTAGTGACTAAAAAGCAATGGGCACCAAGCATTAGACAGCTGATATTGCATGCTTGCTCGTGAGTACTGTTCCATTTGGCTGACCATCCACGTTTAGTGTTGTTCTCTCTTCTAGGCGACGCTGACAGTTTCAACAAAGTACGACCTCCAGGAGAAAAGCCAACCATCATCCGTCCCCCAATGAGGCCTCCAGACCCTCCCTGCCGGGCAGCTGCTCCCCAGAAACCAGAACCAAAGCCAGATACTGTAGCTGGCAACGCGGGGGAAATCCCGCCATCCGTGTAAGTAGGCTCAGTCCTCAGCTTTGACCTAAGGCCCATCTTAGGCCACTAAGAGAGCTTTCAGGATTACCATTATGGTTGGGAAGCGTGCCCAATGCACAGCCCCGGGACATCATCTGCTCCATAGTCTAGGGGAATGTCACAGAGCAGCCCTGTTTGGAGTGTTCCCCTCGACACTCAAGGCTGAGAGACTTCCTCAGAGCTGAAGAATTTGAACCTTAGCACCTAATTGGAGACCCATTTTTCCTAGCTGCTCTGATTGCTGGAGGGCGATAAGATTACCTTCTGTTTCGTGCTCCCTTGGCTCTGGAAATCTTTCTTATTTTCTTGGTATTGCTACTGGTTTTAAAAGTAATTTAATGAACAGATTCGTTCATTGCATTTGTGCCTTGAGGCTCTATTATTATTTTTTTAAAGCAAGCACATTTTTTTTAAATCTTCCAAAATGGCTCAGATTCTCCAGAGAGGTGCTTACAGGTTAGGAGCTGAGGTGATGTCCAGCAGACCTTCCTCAGGCTGGACTGAAAACCAAGGAACCTGGGGTGGAGCTGCTGCACTGGGGCCACAGCGCTTCTCAGGGACCAGCCTAGCTTGGCCACAACGAGCCCGGCTGGCCTCTCCTTTGCCAGGGTCCGGGACCCCTCTCAGTATGCTCCTTCCTGGTGTTCCTTTTTCTTCTGTGTCTTGTTTTCCATAATTGTAAAATGGAGGGACATTTTTCAAAGCCTGCGCCATTTTGACTTATTAGCTAAGTGTGTTTGCACAGTGCCAAAATTACACTTTGCAACCTAGAACTTTTTCCACTTATTTCTCCCAAGAATAGCCTGAAGGGGCACCCTACTTAGATCATTCCGAGCCAACAGGGAGCACAAGGTATGGGCTGTAGCCTTGGCGGTACCAGTGATCTCTGAGCCATTTCACATTCTGATACTTGGGTTTCTCCTCAGACCCAGGTCCTTTACAGGCTAAGGCAGGGCCAGGCATTGGTGGCCCGTCTGCATCATCTTTTCTTGTCCTTTCCATTGGCCATTGGTTGTCACATATATTCCAGAGCAGCTAACTCATGATACTTGGTTGGCTTCTACTTACAGGGTGGCTTCCAGGACCAGGTTCTTTGAAACAGCTTCCCGGAAAACAGGAAGGTAAGAGACGTAGGTGACAGAAGAGAAACAAAATTGCTTTTTAATAAATACACCATAAGCATGTCATTTGCTCTTTCACCGTCTCCTTTTCTATCTCTCTGTGTCTCTGTCTCTCTATTCCTGTCTCGCTGTTGGTCTCCCTCTTTCCCCCAGCTCTGTCTCTTACCCTGTGTTTCTGTACCTGTGTGTCTCTTTGTTGATGTCTCTCTATTTGTCTCTCTGTATCCCTGTTTAACTCTTTTATGTCTCTGTCTCCCCATGCCTCTCTTTATCTATCTCTGTACTTTGACTCTTTGCCTCCCTGACTCAGTTTACCCATCTTTCTTCTCTCTCTCTCTCTCTCTCTCTCTCTCTCTCTCTCTCTCTC